GTAAAGTTAGGGTCGTTTGAACTGTTTATTTTAATGTTATGTATTATCCATTTTAATAATAAATACGAGTCGATAAACACGTGAGTGAAGTCCCATGACTTTTTGTGGCGGACAATGGTTGAAACCGCCAGGAATATTTCTGAAGATACTAGTATTCTAAGTAACATATACTATTAACTAGTGATGCACTATTTGAAACCTTTGGTGTAGTAATGAATATTACTGGAGTTTTTTCCCAACACCAAATCGTTATTTCAACACCTCGACACGTGTTTCGATCACCAAGTGATCATCTTCAAGACGAAGATGGGAAAAAAACTCCAGTAATATTGATTTTTTATCATATCAACCTTTAGTTATTGATATAACGAAGATGCTATTTTATACAATTATTATTAACTGGGAAGATAAGTACCTATTATGAAAGTTTCTGAACATTTGCAACTAATAATAGGTATTATTATTTTCAGTGACTGTTTGCGAGAAAACGATAATATTGCCAAAATAGCCTTCAGATGGTACCAGTATTTAAATGTGTTAAAAACGAACCCCTCGAAATCAGCGCGCCCACACACTTGAACACCCTGTAAATGTCGAACACCCACCTCTACATTACTAACCCAACGTGAATCTGATCGTTCGCTCCCATCTCTATGTTGAAATTCTCGTCGAACTACCTAGACGTCATCCAACTGAACTCCCATATCACTGTACGCGCATGCGTTGTAAGATTGGTTTCTCGCTGCATACTAACTGTTGGCAGTAGGCAAGTCAAATGTGCCGCTTGAAGTTGTTTAATTCGTACAATGAACTTATTTTTCAACAATACAATCGAACGTACTGTGGAAAATCTGGAACAGTTACTCGTTACTGGTTCCGAAGCGGTTAGTTCAAAAAATTGGCTTCATTTCAAAGTTGAAATCTGCAGTGTTGTTCCGGGACTATTTTTAAATTGTTTGCTTTTGTAAATGACAATTCCTAGAGTAAATAAATACTGTGATCTCGAGTGGTCTGATATTGGGTGACATACTGTAAGTTTTACAAACGAGCAACCGAATATTTGAACGTTCGAGTGCGATCGGTCATTGGTCAAGATGCAACAAGGTGTTCCAACCGTTTTGTGCAGGTGAATATTTTAATCAAAGCCTCCCCTAAATCTGGAGTAGACACGTCAACTTAGATTTTTGTATACCTACTTACGCTGAACCAGATGTAAAAGTAACTTGGCCACTTTTTTGCAAAAAATGTTTCTTATTCGATTGTAGTGCAAATTTGAAAGTAGGTAAATCATTCACTTGGCATAGGAAACTACTCTCTATGTAAATTTAGAATACTGGTCTTCTCAAGGTCTAATTCAAAAATGCATGTTTATCTCCTTCTTATTAAGAACATAGTCATACGCTATTAGCTGGCAGTACTTGAATATATCTACATGATTCAATGGAATGTACTTTTAGGTTTTAGGTAGATTAAGTATAATTAGATTGAGTATTTTGTTCACTGTTTTAACTAAATGTAATAACTATTACTTATCTATGACTGTGGGACGTAAACAGTACCCCCCCTACTTACTCTGAAATGGGACGATATATCAAGATCGGGCAAAATATTAGATACGTATTTATTGTTTTTACTATTTTATTGGGAAAGAAAGTTTTTGGCTTTCTACTACTCCATCTTGATACAAAAAAGGATAAGGAATCTTCCAAAGAAAGGAAGGAAGTAATCAATTTGAAAATAAGTAACTCTATACATGGATGTGTAAGATCATGCAAAGAAGTAACTTTCAGATACAAACTGAAAGAAAGTCCTCCTGAAACAGCTACTTTCATATAAACATTGAATTACACGAAAGGAAAAAAATTCTTTCGAAACAAATATTTCTATATGAACACTGAATTATACAGAAGATACTTTTCTCTACTTCTTGACATAAATTTTATTATAACATTATCATAGGTGGCGCTAGGAATACTTTCTATAAAAAAGAAATTGAATTCTGAGGTGTTTTAGTGATGTTTTTTCGGTACCAAACCGGCATCAGTAGAGTAATCAGAATTACTTATTTCAAAGAAAAAACTTTGACAATCGATCTAAAAATAATCTTAGATTCCTGGGGAATAGGTAGATTGAGACTCTGGCGTCAAGTCACATCAATTTTTTGAAAAAGGCTACAAAATCTGAGCCGAAACGTCGAACACAAAATTACAGAGGCGGATTAACCCGAACTCAACAACAAAGTGTAAAGATTCCACTGGTGTGAAAACAGAAGTGCTTTGAGCTTTGACGGATAGTCCGGTCGATAAAGTTGTGGGATTAACTTCACTTCAAACAAGGTATTGTAACTAAGACCAGTAAGATTGTACAATTTTCGATAATGAAATATGCGAAAAACAATATTGCGCTTTTAAAGGCCCAGAAAGAACACCAAAAATGAAAAAACAATAAGCACAAAAATAGGTATGAGACAACCTGTATTTTAAATAAGAACAGTTTTCATCGTAGAATTAAGTTTTCATAAATTACCTGGTACAATATTATTGTACCAGGTAATTTATTACCTATAAAATATGGGACAACATGTTATCGAAAAAGAGGATGATTATTCATCATTTACACTATAAAAGTAAACAGAATGCCAGAAATGCAAATAAGGTACAAACGATATTCGAAAGGAAGATATCATTATTCATCAGAAACTTTTTTGAAAACGTAATAGTAGTATCAGAACATTATTATGGACATTATTGTCATTATTTCGGCAGGCAACTTAGGTTCTATGGAATATGAGACAACCTGTAATCAATAGAAAATGATCACTTTTTCATAATTGCAATAAAAATAGTTTCTTAAAGTACAAGAAAGAGTATCAGAATGGCACAAAACATGTCAATATTCATTATTATTATTATCTGACTATGTAACTAATTCATGACCTACAAAATATGATACACCTTTTTTTGAAGATGAGAATATCACTTTCTTTTATTCTCAACTGAAAAAGTTCCCAAGTGATCGAAACAAAAATAATGGTATTCAATCAATTATTCATACAACCCTATAATTTGATTTATTCATAAGACTGATTTCTCTACTGTTTAATTACTCAAAAGTGTGATAAAAGTCCTTACGGATAATATTATTGACCTTATTACAACCTCGTGTTTGAATTGAAATTATCTTCACGACTTTCTCGTGTTACCGGACCGACATCAGTAGAATAATTAGAATTACTTACAAAAAAATGTCAAGAATTATATTTTTGACAATCTTTAATTCCGTGTTCTCCATCACTTCATTCCGAGGTTTCCTTTAATTGAGACGGAATGAAAAGTAGAAACTAAAGTCGCAAAATTAGATCGACTAATCAGTTTAGACATAGAAAGTCTGTACACCAGTTCGTATCGAGAAAGGAGTTCGGGTTATCCAGGTAAAGCTATCCAAAGACGAGGATCTTGAAATCAGAACGAGGTTAACAAGAGCAATCATGGAATTCCTAAGATGCTTCATCCAGAACTAGCATTTCGAGAACTGATTATCGCAAACCAACATATTAATTGAGAATTATGGAATTTGGAAAGGCCTTTCTGCAGACGAAGAGAAATTTCTACAAGGAATTGGGCCACATCAGGAAATTTCTTCAACAGAAGATTACTCCAAAAACTGGTAGAACAGATATTGGTCGGCAGACGACAAGAGCCTGGTGTGAAAGAGAAACCACTACAACCCGTGCTATTCCATTCTTGTGCCGAAGGCTTGTTGGAGAGGATAAGAAGAATGGAATTTAAGTATAACATTAGAACGTAATTTCGATCAAAGCACATCATGAATGCATTTGTACCTGAGCAAATATCAATGTATAAGAATACATATTTGGACTGCAATGATACTTTTTTGGCGCTACTGTTGGTAGACGAGAAGTTTAAAAATTACAGTTTGCAACTTTCATTGAAAAGGAATATATGCACCATGTCCGATATTATAGGCTTAGTGACTTCATATTATACGTGCAAATTGAAATGAATAGCTTCACCAAGAAAATTTGAAATAAAATATGACTGAACACTCTGAAGAAACTATTGTATAGTTAAACTCCTGTCGCAGTTTCGAAATGATCTTGAAGGTATTCCCATTAAGTGGATCTGTAGTGCCAAACTTTTCGCGGTATAGGTTATAACCCAGTATCAGTTCAACGATAAAATGTAATATTGTTAATCAGTTTGAGGTCGAAGTTATGATCTGTTTTTGAATGTAAATATCAGTAAAATGATTGATAAGAATAATTAACCCAGTAATACTTCGTGTGTTATTACTTATTATACATGTGTATAGTCGTCATTTCAACTTCATTATTATATTCAAATGCTTTTTGAGTGATTTAAGAAAGAAATCGGCGACTAACAACTAGAATTTGGTAAATTCACTAAGGTTTCTATAAATATTAATTCAAGGAGTTCGTAATACAAAAAAAAACAAAAAAAAAATCTTCTCTGAGGAAAAATGTTTCGTGGCNACGTGATTTTGTCTCCCTGTCTTCCGAACTAAGATTCCACCGTTAGTTCACTTCTGGGTAATCTAAGTAATCTGGGCCCATAACCTGAAGAGTTATGCAGTGAAACACGGCATTTTAGATGATCAGTCTGGGTTGGTTTTCTGTAAATGGAAAAATCTAGTTTGTTGTTAGTTTTTTTTATAGTAAGATCTAAAAAGTTTAATTTATTGTCTTTTTCTATTTGAAGTGTAAATTTAATTTTTGTGCCATATCTGTGCCAACTGTGGCACAGATATGTAAAATATGGAAGTAAGTGCTCGAAAACACTTGAAATGTTGACAGTGGCATACGGTAATTGTATTCTGAGTCGGAAAAATGTTTACAAGTGGTACAAGGTTTTCACAGAAGATAGAAAAGATGGGAATGATGACGCTGGCCCTGGACACCCCAGTACATCAACAATCGATGAAAATGCTGAGAAAGTGAAGTTGTGCAGCGCTTGCAAGAAACAATAAGAAGAAAACGTCCGATATTGTGAAAAAACAATTCATGGCTTTTGCATCACGATATTGTACAGCTACCAAACTGAGTCATGGCCGGTGGGAAAAATCGTATCTACGTAAAGTTAGGGTCGGTGTATGACAAAGAAAGTATTAGGATAAAAATAATAGAAATTTTTGTTTTCAATTTTACGTAGTGCGGCTCAAAATCTAACAGACTAATAACAGATTTCTACACATCTACTGCACATTTCGAGGGAGGGGCTTGTCACCGGCCATGACTCCGACAGCTGTACCTGCTCTGTTGTTGTATACTTACAACAAATGTTTATATTGAAATCATACATGTATGTTTCCATTATGTTCAGATCCGCGCTGTATATACAGTTTTTAACAATATCCAGTTTAATCACTCGTGCAATCATAGATTATTGTATATCTATTTATTAGCTGTGGTTTGTTGGGTACATATCCTTATCTAACCATTAAGTTAACGTTTATTGCATTTCAATAAAATCCTGATGGTTTTTATGAGGTTAGTTTCACGGCAGATAGTTATCTGGTTCACAAATTATACGAGGCAAGTTAAACTATTTTAGAATAAAGATCAACATCGTTGTACAAATACTTAAACTATGTTCATGCCGTAACTTGTAGTAATTTTGGTGAGACTCAATTATTTGTAACAGTGTTATACTCAACTTGAATTGTTATAGTCCAGTGAGTGAATATTGCCAAACTGCACCAATATTCAAAGTTGACCTTCTACCGGGAATGGCTTGGGGGTGAAACATATTTTAATGAAAATGGGCCTGGGAAAGGTTAGACCGACTAATTCTTGGGTACTCTTGTTCTACAACTTTCCATCCAATAAACTCAGACTTTGAGATGGTTTTTCGCGAATAACACTAAAATTGAGTATTTTATCGGAAAAATAACTCCCAGCTGATAAAAAAACAGAAAAAACGTTGTGTTAATGGTGTCAGTGGACCCAAAACAAACGGATTAATAGCTTGTTAGAGTTTGATATTTTGTCACATCCGAATATGAACATCTGCCAATCCCATGAATTTTAAAAATCTACTTGAGGAGAAAACCTTCGTTCTTGTTCATAAAAGTTACTAGAATCATTAC